AGGAGGGTTCATCTGAAAGGATAATTACGGACTTAAGATCACACAATGAGGTCCATGGCTCAATGGAGATTTGAAGCTGGCAGCGGAATACCAGTAGTTGAAAGCAGTGCTTTTTTACTGGGGTTACTCAATGGTACACAGTACCGGCACCTTTTTAAAAGCAGCAGCAGCAGCAGCAGCAGCAGCAGCAAAGCACTGATTAAAAGTATGGCACTTACTGTAACAACTTCATGGTGAGTACTGGCACTTTTTTCCCTAGAAGAAAAGCACTGGTTAGAAGACTGATTGGGGTATTGAAAGCCCAGAGCTGGTAACTCTGTAAGGCAATGGGAACCCAGTGGGGTGGATAGAGCCTTTACCAAGCAAAAGGTGCTGCAATACCTCACAGACTGCCTCTCCCCATATGAACCAACCTGGACCCTGCGGTCATCACCTGAGGCCCTTTTTCATGAGCTCCCTCCACAAGCGGTCTGCAGGGTGACAGCACAAGAACTGGTCTTTTCTATGGCGGGTTCCCGTTTGCAGAATGTTCTTTCCTAGGGAGGGTCACCTGGCACCTTCATTACATATTTCAACCAGGCATTTGGCTGATTAACATTCTATGGCTTTTTAAATGTGTTTGTTGGAGGGGGGGTTATTGATTTGTCTTTGTTTAATTATGGATTTTGTATTTTTCTGTTGTGAACAACCAAGGGATCTGTGGGTGAAGGACACTATATTATTATTATTATTATTATTATTATTATTATGGATGGGTGATTAGAATTAAAGTACCCTCTTCTAAGTTGTGGGCTTCGGCTAGGGAGGGTACAACAGTGACTTCTAGTGATACCTGTGTAACAGAAATCTGCTTGCCCAACAGGGCTTCTGGTTTCTCTTTCCCCCTGTCCTGCCTCCCGCATACCCCTAAAATTCAGAGCAGATTTTGGGTTGCAGAGGGCAAGGAGTGAAGTCCTCATGTATAACCGGATACCTGGTTGTGCTGCATCAGATGTCACCATAGGGCTCCAGAACCACAGAAGGCTCCAAACCTGGGAACAATCCTATTGAACTCAGAGGGACTTCTGATTATTATTATTTTTAAATAATTTTTTATTACAGTTTTATAATTGCAAATTCCATATATCACATGCCAATATCCAATCCTACCTTATCATTACCTTTACAATCTTCTCCCTCCCCACCCGACTTCCCTCAGCTTCCTCTTCTGGTTTGTTACATTGTTTGTTATATCCTGCATGTATATATACTATTAAGTGTTGTTACAATATCATCCTCCATGTTTAAACTCAATAAAATTGTGAAAGTTTATTCAAATCCTGCCAATGAATCCATTTCTTTTTGTTGTTTCTGCAAGTAAGTTGTAAATAGTTCCCATTCCTTTTTGAAGTCACTGGACGAAGTTAGAAAGCTACATGGATTGTTAAATGTATCCTGCTGCAGTACTGCATTCCTGATCTAGACCTTATTTTTTAAAAAACCCTGCTTTAATTTTCATTGTTATTGCTGTTTCTTAGCTGGAAGGATGTACACTTAGGCTACAATTCTAGACCTGCTTCACCAGCAGTAAGCTCCAAGTAACTCAATGGTGCTTGCTTCTGCCTTGGATTGTGACAAAATGTGGGTCAGTAAAAGGATCTCCTAGAATACTGTTACAGATGCTAGGATTTTGGCTATTTGTGGAATGAACAATACTTTGCACATTTCATTCTCTCGTGTGAGCAAAACAATTAATTTCAAAGTTGTAATAACAAAATCAAGCAGGATTCAATTTTTATTCCTATGGACTAGATCCTCAGTATAGGCCTATATGTGTAAATCTGATGGGCTGTTTCCAGCAAAGTCGTTGTGGAAATGGAATGCATTGCTCTTGTACAACACCTCTCCTCTCCCAGCATGATTGCCATACCTCGCCCCAAATCTGCTCTGCATCGCCCCTCAACCCTCAGAAGGGGACTTAGAGGCAGTGGGGGAGTTGTAGTGGGGGATGTTATGTTGTGTGAGTGAAAGATGTTCACTTAGCTGCACAAGAATTTGGATTCAATCCAACTATTCCAGTGCAAACTAATGAACTTGTTGGTGTCAGCCCAATTAAAATTGAAAGGTCTTCCAGTGTTGCATTTAGTTTTAGACTTCTTTGCAAGTGCTGCCAGCATTCAGAATTCTTTATTTCTGAGATTGCATCAAGCAGCAGCAATCTAATCATATGTGACTAGATTGAAGTAAAATTCAAATAATTTATTTTCTCTTAATGTAAGTATTAGCAACAAACAGCACAAACCAACAAGTATAGGTTGTTGGTTGCAGGGTACAAAACTGTGCACAAAACTGAATCCAATCAAATACAGTTATAAAGAAGTCAGCATATGAGTAATCATAAATCTCAATACAGAAAACCAAGGAGATCTAAAGCAGCAGCAGCAGCAGCAGCATATCCAGTACAGGTCAGATTTACAGAATGCCTCAGACTGAAAAGCCTCTCCTGGGTTCCTCCAAAATCTATTTATTTGAACATGCATCTATGTAATTTGTATGTGCAGATATTAGGCCTCTTACACAAAGTAAAAATGAAAACCAATTTTTAAAATTATTCAAATGTAGCCTGATTAGTTGTTTACTCTCTGGAGGTATCCTACTCTTAAAGTTTAACAAAGTTTCCAGCTCTTCAATTGTAGGTTATTTACTGATGATGATGATGCTTTTTTCCATGCTGAGGAGACAAAGCATTGAAGTTATGTGCTCCCCCCCCCCCACATTTCAAGCAAAGCAATGCATATATTCAGCTCATTAAACTTAACAATGCTAAGTACAAGAACATCACCTACCAGTTGATATGAACTCGTTTTTTAAAGAAAAAATATGTAAAGTTTGAGAGATATCATCATGATTGTAGCCTGGAGAGGGAGTTACTTATTTTAGCTTAGAAGAGGTGATTTGGGAGTGGAGAGAAACACTTTGTGATCACTTTTATATCAATGTAATGAGCATGCAAACCACATAAACTCACAGTTCAGAGTCAATCCCACAGAAAAACAACAATACCAAAAATCCACATAGCACAGGCTACATGTAGGCTCTATGTTATCTTGGTACCCCCAAGTCACTGGAGGTGGCTAAAACATTAATAGAGATGAGTGAACCTGCCTCGTTCTAGTAGTGCTTAAGGAACATGGACTGTGATGTCATAACCAGTGTTGTTTTTTAAGAGAAAAAGGTGTTGGTATTCACCATGAAGTATTTACAGTAAGTGCCACACTTTTAACATTTGGAGGGGGGAGGTGCCAGTACTGTGTACCCCCAGCACTGGACTCATCACATTTTGTGTTTCCCCAGCTTTGCCATTAGCAGCCAATGATATGAGGTGGGAGGAGTGGGGCAGGAAGGTTGCCATTGCCACTGGCTCAGCGGTTCATGAAACAGCAAGTAGTTATTAATGGGAGTGACAGGTGTTACTATTTTCCCAGGTGGACTATTTCTAAAAGTAGAAGTCACTGGTGAACAAAGGCATCTGATGAATTCATACTAAATCTGGTAATTAAAGTGAAAATTGAAGCCATGGGAAAGGTGAGAGAACAGAAGTCTTAAAAATCCACTATGGTAACATATGGATGTAATTTTCAAAAGCGGCTTGGAGAAGCAGTTAAGGTGTCTAAAATGGCTATAAATCAAATTTGTTTTGTAATAAAAATTTAGACACTAGGATTTCCCCTCCCCATTCCATAATTTGAGTTCCTGCGTTTGTTCTTCCTTCAGCCTTTGCTTTCATTCCCCTCCCTAATTTAATGCATAATTTTTGCATGATAATTTGTTAGCATGATAATTTCTACTCCCAGTCTGACTACCATGAGTGATTGCAAGTGCCAGTAACAAAAACGAGTTGTTGCATTAATCCAACACTTTTTTCTATTGCAAATAGTATGTAAGGATATTTCATTATTGAAATAGGTCTGTATAAGTTGGTATTTCAGGGCACTTGATTCTAATGGGCCAGTAGCTTGTTAGAGCACAGGTTCTTCTGTTCAGTCATGGCTGCACCAAGATCTTTATGTACCTATCCTGCTGACAAAACTAATACTGTGCAAAAAATTGTTCCACATTTTATCTGAACATTTTCTACCAATTTTTAAAAATGCATTGGGAAAATATCAAAAGGGAGGGAACATTTCAGTGATGTTCTCATGGGTAAGGTGCAATGTTTTTGTTGGGCTCACCTTACTTTGGAGGTGGACAAATATTTTGTGAGTGTTCTTTCCTTATTTAAATAATCTCTCCAGTTGTTTGCACTCTGTAGGTTTAATGGGGTCCTGAACTTCCTGAAAACCCTATTAAGTCCTTGGCTGGGCTTTTCTACAAGTACAGGGAGACACAGAAGCTTTTTGTTAACATTTTTCTAGAGTATTTTTACTTTTAAATAAATCATTAGGTGAATAATAAGGGTGTGCTCGTTAAAGGGAAGAGCTTCCGTTGAAAAACAGAACCAGCAAGGGTGCAGATCTCAGAAGCTTATTATCTTTCCCAGCTCCTTGCATTTCAGATAAAGCCTAGGGGAAGATGTTGCGAGGTACCTCCTTCCATGGACCTTTTAGATTTCTCTACTTTTTGGTACCTGTTGAAGACTTTCCTCTTTCAACAAGCCTTTCATCCCTTAAATGAAATGCACCGTTTACTTCTGCTGAGAAGCAGCCCCAGGGAGTCTTGGGCTTTTGCACCCTCTTAAATCCATACCTGTACCATGGAGCTTGTGAAGAAAGCGGAGACAGAAAAATGCCCTTTCAGAGCTCCTCAAAGTTGACCTACTGTTTCAGTGCAAAGGCTAAGTGAAACACAGCTGTGAAATGTGTGTTCAGACAGGTAGCTCACTGAGCAGGAGAGAAATAAGAGGAATGAAATACACACCAGGCCAGCAGAATGTCTACTGTTCATGCAGCACAAAGTAAAGCAAGTTGAAGAAGTGCAATATATCTCCTTACTTAGAATGTTATGTGTTTTGTCTCCTACAGAACCATAGAACACTTCACTGGATGCTGTTCCTTGCCCTTGGACTTGCTGCCAACAAAAGAAAGAGCCATCTAGATACCACATAGCAGTATCAGCAGAAGGTTCAGGTGCATCTCCATAAGTGAATTTTTTGGGGCTGGAATTAGCAGATCTTTTCTCGTGGAGAATTTCAAGCAAAATCCGTAGAAAATATAGAAGAGAAATGAGAAATTGCTCTTGGGTTGCCATGAAGCCACTCTTCCTCTCATTTCATAGGATGTAGGACCCGCATGCAGAAACCTACACAGAAATTCCAGCAATTGTGTTTCCCATTCTTGCAACGTTCTCATGTAAAGTTACAGAGAAGAAAAAAATAAAATGTAAATTCCAGGTGAAACAGAGTGGAATATCTGCTCTTCAGTTGCACCTTTCTTGAAAAGATCCCCCAGCACTTTAGAAATACTTATATTGACAACTGGAGCCAAAGAGTACTCAATAATACTTCCTTGTCATCCTGGAAAAAGTTACAAGGGGGGTGCTGCATGGTTCTGCCCTGAGCTTGTTGTTGTTCAATGTCTTTATAAATGACTTGTGTGAAGGATTTGAGGGGATGCTCATGAAAATTGCAGATGATATCAAACTGGGAGGGATAGCTATTGCCACAGAAGTCAGAATCGGGATTCAAGATGACCTTCACAGATTGAAAAACTGGGCCCAAACTATTTTTTTTAAAAAAAATGAATTTCAATAGGGACAAATGTAAGGTTCCACCCTTAGGCAGGAAGAGCCAATTTCACAAATAAAAGATGGGGGACACCTGGCTTGCCAGTAGTACATGTGAAAAGGATCTAGGGTTCTTACAAGGCCACAAGTTTAACATGAGTCAATAGTATGATACAGCAGTAAAAGTAGGTAATGCTATTCCAGGCTACATCAACAGAAGTATTGTATCCTGATCAAGGGAACTGAGAGGAGAGATGATAACCAATGACCATATTCAAATATGGTGTAATATTGATGTATTAAGCAGTGTTTTTTAAAAAAATAAATAAAAATAAATGTTTGCTTTACTCCCCAAAGACAGTGGTTCTATTCACGCTGGTGGGCTATGCCTTTATATCTGTCACAGATACATGGTTTGGAACAAAAGGGAAGATGGAAGAAGAAGAATGGCTGCTATCCATTTCTAAAGTCAGGTTCATGGAGGCAAGGCATAGTAAGTATAAAGCAATAATAAAGATTACTCTGCTTGTTTTGCCAAACAGATAAATAGATTCCAGGCTTCAATTTATAAAACAGACATTAGACCAAACAGCACGCATCCCTCCCTGTCTCCATAATTGTGTACCACACTGTCATAGTTAGTGATTGGACTAGATTAATATTGGCAGAACTGGTGTTCTGACAATTGCTGGAGACTGCAGCAGAAGAGTGGAAAGCACTGCTGAGCAGTTAATAAGTGGCCATTCTTCAGTCATGCAGCACTTGGAATAGCTTTTCAAAGGGAGAAAAGAAAATTCTATTGGGTTTCAACACCTGGTTGAGCAGCTCAATAGAGACAAAATTGAACGTTATAGCAGAATCATTATTTATTTCAGGACTACATCTTCATTGCATGGGCAGTCTTAAAATGAAAGTTATTTCAATGTGAATCAAGTTCACGCCAGCATCTCAGACCAGCTTCTATGGGAAAGGAGCTCTTTACACATAATTTCAGGTGGCAATCATATCCAGCTGAACACATTGGGGGGTCTTTGTTTTCGTTGCAATGTGTTTAAAACATGCTGGATTAATAGGAACAATACCAAGGTGACTTAAAAAACAACACCCTACTTGTGAGATGCATTGTTTTCCAATTTTAGCACCAGCAAAAATGACCTCTGATTAAAATAATGGTGCTGTTAGTGTGTTACATTCAGGACAGATAAAAGAAAGCATTTTTTTCACACAGTGCATAGTTAAACTATGTACCTGCAGGAGGCAATGATGGCAACCAACTTCATTGGCTTTGAAAGAGGATTAGACAGATTCATGGGGGAATAGGTTTGTCAATGGCTAGTAGCCATGAGGGCTATGTTCTGCCTCCATAGTCAGATGCAGTAATACTTCTGATTATCAGTTGCTGGATACCGCAGGAGGGGAGAGTTCTCTTGTGCTGGGGTCCTATTTGCTGGTTTCCCATAAGCACCTGGTTGGGCACAACAGGATCCTGGACTAGATGGGTCATTGGCCTGATCCAGCAGGTGGTTCTGATGTTCCTATGCCAGCTAGACATCTGAAGTATTTTTCTTGACCTCTCAAAAAGCGCCGCAGTATTCTAGCTCTGGGCCCTTGAGACAGAGCAGGGTAGTCACCAAATAAATAGCAAAACCCTTTGGAAATTGTCCTTTTGGTGAATTGATGAAATTTAAATGGAGGGTAATTCCAACGTCTTGTTCTCATTAACTCTGTGAAAAAATACATTTCTCTCTCTCAAGCAAAGTCAACATCATTATTCTTTTGACTCTGGTTCATTACAAGTAGTCTTTGCTTTTATGCAGTGAAACTGTGTTTATCCCCTATAATTTAGCTAATCCTTTCCTCTCCCTGCAGTAACAGGATAGACATGCAAATCAGCTCCTATCAATTTCATGTGTGAAGTGGAAAGTCAGGCAGTAGGAATGGAAGTGGGGGCTGGGGCTGGGGAGGAGGTTCTGCCACTTGAATGTCATACATTCCCCCATTGGGTACTCCAATTTTATAGCTATTAGTTTTTATAATTAACAGTGAATATTAAAGAGATTTTAAGATAATAGAAGCTCCCAATAGTGACACTCAGCAGGTTCCACCCACCCCACCCCCCTACCACATCCTGTTTCTCTCTCCCTCCCATCACCTCACTGTTTTTGGTGCTTGAGTGCCTTCAAGCAAATCATTATTTTCTGTTAGATGTTTAATCACAAACCTTGCAAGGAAATTTTCTGTTTTTCATGCTGCACTCGGTGCAGAACTAACTTCATTACCACATTGACACGCTAGCACATTTGTCAGCCTTAAAACCCTGTCGTCTTAAAGACCCCAGTCCAAAAATTCCCCTTGGAAAAATATTTAGTTTTAAACGATACAGTACAGCATAATTGGTCTGAAGTACCAGGTTTTTCCCCCCTATTTCCAGCTTACCACTGGGCTATTCCTCCTGGGTCTGACAGGTTGTCAGGGGTATGGGGGCGGGGGAGGGGGAGGGGAGACTTTTGAAGAACAGTGACTAGTTTTAAAGGAAGCTCAAAGCTCGAGGGGGTGTCTCTATGGTAACATGTTTATGTAAATTTTCAGGTAAGGGATGTTTTCTGAGGCACTTTTTCCCCCTACTGGCGTGACTGAAAGCAGTAACACTGATTTCAACAGTGTTCAACAATGCTCAACAGAGGTAACATGTTACTTGAAGTTCCAAGCTGTTCTTTGTATACCTATTGGCTGTTTTCCAGTAAGAGGGCATTTTGCCATATTGTAGCTATAGAGCAATTAACATGAGAAAAGCTAGGGGAAAACATACCAAGTGTTTAGAGGAGAGCACCCCATTTTTAGATGATTGTCCTTTTCAGGGTGAAATGTCTTGTTTAGGAACCTGAGCAAACGAAGTGCTTGATGGCTGTGTGTGTGTGCGCGCGTGCGCGCACACACACATACACACACACCTATACACACAGAGAAAAGGAGGGAAATAATTTTTTTTTAATGGACTGCTGCTTGATAACTCAGTTGTGTGTATGTGTCTACAGTTCATGGGTCTTCAGTGCATGCTGGCCTCATGCAAGACAGGACATGCACATTTTCATTGGATCTGGAGGAAGGGTCAAGAGACTGATTCTGCATGGGTGTGGGCAATCAGGCAGAAACAGGCATTTTGAAGGGATTCAGCTTCTGATAATCATCTTGGCCCCATCCCACTGTTGGCTTCAGTATTTCATATTTCTGCTGTGGAAATGAAAACACATCTTGGATTGTACACTGCGATGTGGTCCTTTATGAAGCTGAGCGACATTACAGCTGTTTTGTCATGTACTGGGCATGAACAAGAACTGAGGTATTCACAGCAATGTAAGGGTCAGACTACATGTGTTGTTAATTGTGCAAATAGGACTAATAGGAATGTTTGTTTTTAAAACTGTAAATAGCAACTATAGTGGAGTCAAAGCTGCAATGGGACTGCAAGAGAAGGGAGAGATCAACCCTTTCCCCTCTTGCCATTGTTCTAATGAAAATTACTCCCTGAAGGTTCTACAACTTGCATGGGGAGATCAATGGAGGCTTTTGGCTCCTGATGCAAACAGCAGCTTGAGACTATGTGTGGGGCAAAAGGGCAAACTCTCCCTCTCCTCCCCCTGTGGTCCTGCTGCTGCTCAGAATCCCCTGAAACTCCACCAACCTGCCTTAGTATGCACAGGTGCACGAAAAAATAAAGAGGAAAGTATATGAGCTTTTCCACAAGCAGCACCTTGACTGATTTTTGCATATCCTACATCTACATTTTTTATGCTGACTACAGAATATACAAAATAAAACCCAAAGGCAAACCTTCGCCGTTCCCATTTCTGTTCTATAGTAACAGCATTCAGACATGCATACTAATAACCTGTGATTGTGGGTAAAAACTTTCTGCATATTTTAAATGCTAGTCACTATTTATTGGAGACATTCAGAAAAGGATGCAGATCCCGCTTAGCTTATTCATATGATGCTTTTTGGAGAAATTCTGGAAACGACTCCATGTTGTCTGAAATGATCTGTCTGCTTACTTTCTCGAATCCTTATGAATTGTTCCCAAACTGAAAAACATGCGTTAGAACTAAATAAGCATCAGTCTGTGGTCAATGGTCCATCTAGCTTGGTATTCTCTCTCTCAACAGTGACTAACCAAAAGTTACAAGGAAGTTTTTACATGCAGGTCATGACAATTCAGCTGTAGCCTATTGCCATTCCCCAGTCTCAACAGTATATTGCCTTTCAATGTCTGTTTGCCGCAGCCTAAAGCTTCAAAAAGAACCATTTCCCATGTGTACCTAATCCTCTTTTCCATCCTAGTCACCAACAGAAACATCCTATGGCAATGAATTTCATAGTTTCATTGGTCATTGTAATCTGGGCATTTTTAATTTTTTTTTATGATTCTTCTCTCTGTTTACTTCATGGAGGACCATCTTCTCATGACCATATGCCTGAAAGGAACCACCGTAAGTTGCAGGATTTTAATTTATTATTATTATTGCTTACTGTTACTAAACTCCAAGGCTACATTGCCTCATATAAGCAAACCAATGGCGTATCAGTCTTGTCCCTTCCCTATGGTAAAGTTTTCATTTTCTGTATCTTGTTTATTCAGTTTTCTGTTTATCTACAGGCCTCTGCCTGGCAGGCTTCGTGTATCTGCTTTACACATAAATGTCAGATACCATTCTGAAGCTTCAACTTGGCTGCCACTTGGCTGGTTGCCATGTTGATCTTTAGGATTTTTATTTGCCTGTCGCAAAATGCTATCTATTTATTTCAGTTGATTTTAAATCTGCCAATGTGCTCTGAAAGCACTTACGAAACACATTTGCCTAGCTTGCCTAGTGCAAATATGGAACATCTGGGCCAAATGGCCGCAATGAAAACATTTATTCACAAATCCAAGCAAACTCTGTGACTTTTCTTCCTTCTTCCTCTAGCTTCCAGCACAAATGAGAGAGAAGATAATCTAAGGCTTTCGCAAGTTGATCCGCCTCCTACAAACCAAGAGAATAGGTTAATTCCAGACTTTGGACTCACGGCTTCCTGACTCATAAATTGATTTTTAGAACAAACATACAATTGCTGTATCATGAGGTGAAATTGCTACATAAGTCATGATAGTGGAAGCATGGCATAATGGCTAATTCTGAGTAACTGTGACATAGGAAACTATTGGTTCAGAGCTCACCTCTGGTGTCAGCTCATGGGTGTGTGGCCTTAGGCAAGGCACTATGCTTCAGTCTTCCAGTTGCAATGGGCAGATAATAATACTGACCAACTTTACAGGATTATTGTAAAGATTTTGAATAATGTATGCATAGAGTTTTGAAAAGACATTAGTAATGTATTTGTAGCCTCTTCCAAAAGCAAATGAGGTCTCCCACTGAAACCCATTTGAACATGGCTTTGATGGCTTCATTTGGTAAATTTTGGCAAGTGTATTTAGAATATATATTCAATATAAGCAGTTTAATTTAAGACCAATATACTTTAAAGCTGAAATAGAATACTTGAGACTTATAAAATAAGAAATGGAAGTAAGGTAACAAATTGCTGCATATAACTATTTGGCTGGGAATGCAGGGAAGGGTGATGTGAGGAAGTCCAAAGCTTATGAAAATATGATTTATGAATATTTCCACTTTATCTGTATTTTCTTTTTATATTCTTACTTTTTCTTATAACCTTAATCTGATTCTTTTTCTGTCTTTTATGTGTTATTTTGCTGTTTAAAAATTTCAATAAATATTTTTTTAAAAAAATAGAATATATATATGAGCCATTTTATTTCTCATACTTTTCTGGGTAGGCCCTAAGTAAAGACCAGAGCAGCTAATGTAAGCAAAAGATGGGTGAAACCCAATGTAGCATGAGCAGGCATCCTTCCTCCCTCCCTGACCAGTCTACCTCCCTGGGTAAATAAACTCTGGAAGAATTAAAGAACTACCCTCCTTCTATTTCTTAGCATTCTTAATCATCAGCATATACAATTTTAAGATGTCTTGGAATGTTCTCAAAATCACATTGTAAGGCTGTAACGCTAAACACACTTACTAGTCAGGGATAAGCCCAATTGATGCAGCAGAACTTGCTTCTGAGTAAACATGCAACTACTGCACTGTAACATCAAAATCCTATCCATGTTTACTTGGAAGTAAGTTACCCTGTGTTCAATGGGGTGTGATCTCTAGCAAATGATGGGTTTAGGATTGCAGCATTAAACACCTAAATTGGCATGGTACATAATATGAATATAGGAACATATAGCAAGCTGCCTTAGGTTGAGTCTGGTAATTGCTCCATCTGGCATAGTATCACTGACACTTACTGCCAGCAGCTGTATAGGATTTTAGACAGGAGTTTTTCCCAACCTACCTTGACAAGCTGGGGACTGAACCTGGGTCCTTTTGTATACAAAGCACTTGAGCTACTTCTGAGCTACAGCCTTTCTTTAATGATGTCTTCTGTACAGGAGAACAAACCTTGCTGAAATTCTTAATTCATGTTAGCAAAATAGTTAAAGAATCAGATGACATACTTTTGGAGAGTGGGGTTTTTTTTAATACAAGGAAATTATAAATTTAAAGTACATGTTGCTTTTTAAAGTGGCAATAAAGTGATCTTAAGTGTTCCTAGAAGGTTGAGAAGAGTGATTCTTAAAATGGCATTAGGCCATTATTTTTCCAAGTAAGGCATGGCGAAAAAAATTGTATCAGTTCTGCAAGGTCTTGGTCATTCAGCAGCAGGAGAAGGCTATTAACTATGAAGTTATTGTTGAAGAAGTAGGTATATAATAGTATGAAAACTGTGCAAAGTCCAATGCAAAGTAAAACTGCATGCAAAAGCTTTAAAGGATCGGAGAGGTAATCTGACAATTTGGCTTGCTTAGGCCTGATGAGTAAGTCTTCAGCACTCATTCTCTCACTTCCCTCTGGTAACTTTGGAGTAATTTGATACTGTACAGGTACCCCCCTAATATTTTCAGACTGTTCCGCAGGGTCTCTTATCGTTGTTTCTGTATCAGAATTGGTCCTTGCCAAATGAGAATCGGGCTTCTTTGTAGATAAATGAGGCTCTTTTCTTCTGGCTTGAATTACATTGGCCTGCTCGTTGCTTTCTCTACTCTGTAAGGGAGGTCCTGGTCTATCATCTTGATGCTGAAAAACCTTGATGGCATTATTCCTGTTTGTGCCTAGTTTTCGATTGATGTGTGCCAAGCTCCTGTTACGACTTTCTAATTTCTTAATCTTTTCCTCTTTCTCATTTATCAGGCTCATAACCACCTCCACATCTCTTTCCAGTTCTTCCACCCATTTCTTGAGGGACTGCGATTTGTCTTTTATACTCCTGTTCAGGTCCTGAACAATGATTCTTTCTTTTAACCGCATCTTATTTGGAGAATGCCGTTTTGCAGCTGTTTGACAGGCTTCATATCCCTGGCTTAGATAATTCCCCATTCATCAACTTATGTGTGCCAGTTTAGGGAATATTGTGAAGGCAGTGGGAAGAGTAAGATATTTGTTCAGAATTCTTCCCTACTTATACCTTCACATCACTCTGATGTCATAATGCCATGATTAACCAACAGTACCATTCACTTTGAAACTCTCAAAGCAGATAGCAGAGGGAATTGTATGGAAATATGGGGTTAGCCATAAGTGGCAATATGTACCATTAGTCTGCAACTGGTAAGCATGTTGTTGAAGCCCGAGTATTTACTGATAGTTTCATATTTACAAACACACATGCACCTCTGATGGGCTTCTTTTTCACACATACATCCTCTTCACTTTCATGGCTTTTCTGGACACCTGATAAGGCATTGCCTCCATGTTATGATCAGTGGTGTAAGTCTCACTCTAAGGCCAATGTAGCACTGGTTAGAACATATAATCACATCTACCATGTGGCAATAAAGGCAGCAAAGAAGTCTTACTTCATGGCCTCTGCTACATCCTCAAATAATAGTCCAGCAAGTGACACTGACACAAAACCCTACACATACACTAAGTAGAAGAATAGAAGCATTACCACCCCACCCCACTCACCATCCGCCCTCTTTCCCCCTCTTCCCAATCTATTACTGCATGCAATATTAATGTCTCACAAAAAAAATCCCCATGAAACTCATTTGTAGAAAACACAACTTGAAAAAAGAGACAATGCACATATTTTTTGTAAACTAAGAAATCTTTAATAAAAATATATTGTAATAATAATAATAATAATAATGGTGGTGGTGGGAACGGGCCTCTGGAGGCAGGGTAGACCTGCTCTGGTTGTTTGGCCTATCATTTTGAGGATAAAGTCCCTCCCTCTGAAGGTATGCAGTCCTTTCCCCAGTGCCAAGGGCCTTCTGGCGGTTCCCTCGCTGCGAGAAGCCAAGTTACAGGGAACCAGGCAGAGGGCCTTCTCAGTAGTGGCGCCCGCCCTGTGGAACGTCCTCCCACCAGATGTCAAAGAGAAAAACAACTACCAGACTTTTAGAAGACATCTGAAGGCAGCCCTGTTTAGGGAAGCTTTTAATGTTTAATAGACTATTGTATTTTAATATTCTGTTGGAAGCTGCCCAGAGTGGCTGGGGAAACCCAGCCAGATGGGCGGGGTATAAAGAATAAATTATTATTATTATTATCATCTCTGTCCCCAGTAGGCACAGTGTTTGTACCACATTGTGGTCCTCCAATGAAGCTGGCAGATTCAGGACAGTTGATACCAAGTGCCTATATACACAGAGCATTGTTAAACTACAGGATTTGCTGCCACAAGATTACACCTGCCAACTTGAATAGCTCTGAAAGAGGATTAGACAAATTCGTGGAGGATAAACCAATCTGGGGAGACTAGACATGATATATTATCTCCAGTATCACAGACAACATGCCTCTGAAAACTAGTTGCTGAGGAACATGAGGAGGAGAGTGGTGTTGAGCTCATGTGCCGCTTGTGGGGTTCCCATGGGCATCTGGTTGGCCTCACAGCATTCTCACATACTGGATGATGGGTGTTGGATAAGCCTTTGGTCTGAACCAGCAGGGCTGTTCTTTTAGGTGAGGTGTAAAGTTAAATTAAGTGTAGACCCGAACATGTAAAATGCAAATGTGGCAGGCTGGTGTTTCAAAATGTGTATTACACAGGTGCCACTTGTTGGGTTGCAGGTCTCCATTCAAAAACCCAATTTGCCTTCAGTAGCAGCAAAGACTTCTTGGTCGTGTATAGACCACAAGAGCAACCACTTACCCGAGTTGTAATGTGCTTAAAGAGAAAGCCAGAAACGCTATGGGTGTGTATGTGTGGAGTCTAATCATAATAAATTTCTACAAGATGTGATACGTTTCTTCAGTTGAAATATATTTATTGTCCAAATAAATTTAGGGAACTGAAGCCAATTAATTCTGGGTTATTTTCCTCTTTTTATCAGCTTCTTGTTTAAAACCAATTAGAGGGGTATACAGAATTACAGAACTAGCAAGAAGATTGTTCCAAAGGATCTTTAATGTCACTACAGATTTTTCTTTGCTTTTGTTACATAATCTCCTCCTTCTGGATGAGTTGTTCTTCCTCCATTTTATGCTGTTCTAGCATGAAATTACAAAGCCCTGTGCTGCAAATTAATACCCTGTAGGCACATCGGGTGCATCAAATAAAGCCAATTCTGACCGGCTTCAAAAACCTGCCCTGAATAAACGCCTCCTGAAGAGCCCCTATCATCCCAACAGCACTCTGAGGGAAAAGCAGAAAGAAAGCAATGCTGAGGTCACGAGTCTCTATTCATTTTTGTCATGCAGTGGTTCTCAACCTGTGGGTCCCCAGATGTTGTTGGACTACAACTCCCATCATCTCTGAGCTCTGGCCTTGCTAGCTAGGGGTGATGGGAGTTGCAGTTCAACAACATCTGGGGCCCACAGGTTGAGAAAGGCAGGTAGAGGCTTCTGGGATTTCTGATTTCACTTCTGAAGGAAGCTGGAGAACCTTCCAGAAGCAATGTAAAAGTGAAGGTTAAAGCAGGTTTTGCCTTGAGCCATTTGTAATTCAAATAGAAACCAAAAAGCACATATTAATTATAAATGCCTATATTTCACCTTATTACCAACAACTTGATTTAATATTTGATTTGGGTTAATATTTGTATTATGCTTTTCCAACAACACATGTTGAACTCAATGAGGGCTTGTCCACATTGGAATTGACTGTGTTTACAGCTGTTTGTGTTCCCATATAATTTGCATAGTCCACATGATTTTACCTTCAAACAACACCAGCCTTGTTGTTTCTCTCCTGTAAATTCGGGTTTACCCACTACAGGAATAATCTGATAACTGGGGAAAACCGGGTTCTGCTGCACCTGGGGTCACTTCCTCAATATTTCCAATTCTTTTCCATTTGTTGCTCATAACTATTTCCCATGTGCTGTGGAAGATGAAGTTTTCTCTTTCTTTCGATCCCTCAGATTTGCACAGAAAGCTGCACAACAAAAATTACAATTCCCTGTTTGCTTTTGCACATTTCTTGCGTGGTTTGTTTTTGTTTTTTAAAAGCAAGGTTGCATAGCTATCTGCACACAGGCCCTGTCAGCACTTCATTGGCATTATAGACA